GTAAGACTAACACAACGAATTTTAATTCAAAACTGTGCATTTTAAATACTCGTAATGAAAAGAAATGTCATCTTCTTCATCAAGTCTCTCGCTTACATCACCCCATTTCTCTGTGGGCACGTCAAATTGTGTTTACTCACTCAGCAGGGAGATCATGGGCAGTATCATAAATATCTTCTACAGGCGTTTTACATGGGTTATGCTTCTTGAATCGGTACGTTCGCAAAATTGCCCCCTCCCCACCCCCGCACTCCCAGTACAACTATTGTTCAGTAGTATTGACTCAAGCTAATACATATCATCTCTTATGCTGAGCTGAATATTTTTTTCCTCTCTAATCTGAGAAAAATAGAACAATGTGAAATTCTTGAAATCTTAAAATAAGTAAAATAATAATAAATTTTAAAAATCAGTATACAGAGAGGTTTATGACGGGAATTACATTGTTAAGCATGATTTTCATGAAATATTGCATAAGATCCATTTTTGTATACAGTACACGAAACCTTGTATCTTATAATAAAACAACGGTTATATACCGAAAAAGCCCGTGAAAATGTCCTTTGTCCATACATAAAGTAAAATCCCTCAACACCATATCTCCATATACGATGCACATTCGTTTTATTGTCACTTATATACAGAAAAAAATCCTTACTAAGGATAATTTCTGACATTTACAAAACTATACCTTTGTTATCATGCCCCTCGCTTAACGACAATATATTTCAAGTCAGATTATTTCCATGGTTTCTTTTGACATTTTTTCATATCTTTGCCATCATATCATGATAGAAATAATGGCAGTATAACGATATTTACAGCGCACCTGACAAAGTACCACGTTTAAATATGTTATCTATACCCAATAGTAATATACCCACAGAGACTTCTATGCACTATACCTGTACCTAGGTCTACAGCTGGCTGTACATTGGCTCACTAAATATTTTATTGCTAAATACTTAAACAGAGAAGAAAAAAAATCTCGGTATCTTGATAAACGTTCGGACCACACAAGGTGCCAGGTAAAAAAATATCTCGAATCAATAAGATGTATCTGGCTTTATTTTTATTCTGAAGTACGACAAACGAACCTTGCAGGCAAATTCTCTTTAGATAAAACGCGACAAATAGAGACAGAAATCTAAAATCCGTATCAAAACAAATCAGAATCTACACAGGTTTTTAAATATTTACTTTTGAACAGCGGATTATTCCAGTACAGAAATACAGTAAATGCATAGTTTTATGAATAATAACAAGATAATTTAAATATATTGTATATATCTAATTGTAAAATGTGACATAGGATAGGATATAAAACTCGCAATACAGCTGTTACTGATGGATGATTGGTTGAAGAATAAAGATACATATGAAAGGTAGATATGTGTGGAAGACCATTCAGAGGTCATATTGTACTGAAAGCTTTATATTTTTTCGTAGATTTATACAAATTCATGTCTTCCATTTTCTCGTGCGAAAATACCGGTCTTTGTGTCCAGTCATAGAATTGGTTAGAAAAGAAAGGGGAAACTTATATGTATATTGATACCTGATGATGAACTTCCTACAAATAATTCTGGTCATAGATAAAAATTGGTTTTACTCCATAATTCAACGAATTAGATTTATTGAAACTTTTGCATATACTTAATCCATAAAGGGAGGTAATCTTACCAGATCTGGGCATTTTACAGTTGTGTGAGAGGTGGAGGGAAGGAGGGGACAAAGTAATTACGAGACTTTCTGCATTTTACAGGTCATTTAGAATGATTTATAACAAAAGAAAAATTGTGTTCCATATCAAATTGAAAACCATAGTACCGCGTATCGATTTATTTGCAAAATGGGTTTTTTTTTCTGTGCAAGATATATCCATAGCTTTATCATCAAACTAAAATGTATGCAAACTATATTTATATATCCTTTATTACTCTTAATTTTGAGCGTTTACTATGATCCACCTAAATCAGTTTTAATGAGTTCAAGAGGTCATTAAGTGTCATCATTAGGAAGGAAGGAAGTAACTGATGTAATAATAAAACAACGGCTTCTGCTATAAACAGTTATATGTGTAATTCCGGAATTTGATCTGCGTGACTGGATCCGGTTCGTAGTTACATACCCCAGACCATATCCAGTTACCACAGGGACACCAATATCTGCCATCAAATATTTAACATAGAAAATTATAAATAATTCAGCGTGATCTCCCTTCTACACAGTGGTCACGCTACAAACAGCAGACTTTCCGGCTCTTGGTCCCTCCGCGTTTCCTTTCTGATTATATATTTTTTCTGTTTCCGTTTCACAAGTGAACCTTTTTTTTTTGTTTATTTTTACGCGAGGAAAAAAACCCCGTCATCTAAATGTGTCGAACACGATCTAAAGCAGTTGTGATAAATAATTTAAGAACATTCTCTTTTCTGATGTGTATTAAACTTTTTTGCATTTAGACTACAACATGTTAGAGGTAGTCCTGTACATTTAACTCGCCTACAATAACTAACCAGGTGTGATTTGAATGGCGATGCATACGTCCACTAACCTCATAACCAAATCCGAGATTTCGGCAAACGAATTAGATACAGAAACCAAAGCTGAACATAAGACTACTCCTAAAACTAAAGGTGATTGCGACGCATATGAACGTTATCCCGAACAAATGAGGATAAGGGCGGTGATTATTAGTTTGAGTCTTCCACTAGACGAGATTGACAAACTTAAAAGATTGACAGAAGAGATTTTCCGAATGGTAATACTTTACGTATCGAAGGCTAAGCGATACTTACATTGACTGGACTGCAGAGATTTACACCACGATAAGACTAAAAAATAAAGAAAACTTAGAATAAATAAAAGTTGAATATAGAAGTATCTCAACAACACTCAAAACGAAGGCACAACGCCTTAGTGAGCATGTTACCAAAAGTAAATTAGATTTATACAGAATGTATTCGATCGTAGGATTCAGATAATACCAATGAACCTGTTAACTGTAAGATACACTTCATTATATATTTATGTAGATTTTTACGGATACAGTCGCGTTTTTCTGTCAAAACTGATTGTTTTAGAGTTGTTGGGTGTTAGTATCGGGGAACGATCTCCGTATCTCCTCAATCAAATTAATTCATTGCAAAGATAGGGTCCGAACTAAGAACATATGCATGGGCATTTGTGGTCAACAGCTAGGGATAACGCAATATTTCAATTAAAATCCCTTAATTAAATGTTTTAGAAATGTAACAATTTCCTTCAATGTGTACGTCCATCTTCCTATGATCTTATTTCTTTGAATGAAATACACAAACAATTCGTGTTTCAAAATTTCAAGAGAAAAAAGCACATACACACAATCGGGCTTTTTTTTCCAATTGGGTTAAATACAATTGTTTCATGACTAATGTGAATAGCGGAACGTGATTGAGGCCCACGTTAGGGGTCGGCTCTTCACACCGACATTTGAAACAATTAGAAATGAGGAAAGGAAATCGGCAGAACCAAACAACAGTCAAGGACCTCCGAATCATAAAAAAAAAATTTTTTAATGAGATCGTTACCTGTATTCATTTCTTTCCTACTCCACAAAGTATTAGTCACGTTTGTTTCACAAAAGTCTAATTTGAAAATATTTGGGTTTTTTTTCGATAAAGATAAGGATCGTCTGATTTTGTTTTTCTTGAACTGGATAATGCAACCTTAGGGGGCCCCTTCCGGGACACCTACCTAGGGAATGGTAGACAGAGTAGAAGATAATAGTTTTCGTCAAAATGGATTTATCCATGACTTTTTAAAGTATTCTGTCTATAGAACTAATTAAATTGGCGAAATCAAAGACGCAAGTTATAGTCCGTTGATGATTTTAATCTACTTTTGACCTTGGACTAGAAATATCAACATGATGATCTCGGTGATATTTTTGTGTGTGTATCGAATACAAATGTTACACTAGAGCATCACTATACGAGATCGGTTCTAGTGCCACTTACCACAATACAACCACTCAAAAATTAAAAGCAGAAATACACTATACAAGTAATTAGATAAGCAGGCATGAAAGATTCGTTTCCAGTGTCATTTTAAAGTTATAATCTGATAGACGAATCATATTCAGACAAAATATTTTAATGTCTCTAAATGAACCCATCTTCATCAAAGGGAGGGATAGTCCAAAGCGGCACTAAGGGGAGGGGGAGGATGAATGGGGTCCTGCTGATGATTACTGAACCGTGACCGGATTGGATTGTAGCGGAACGTTTGTTGACAGACACTAGATCTACGTCTGGCATCAGATCTCCCCTCCCTCGGGAGCACTGCTCGTGTAGACCGCCCCACCCGCGGGAATACTCCTCACACGTATTTGCTGTCTTTGATAATGTTTTTCTACATGATGAAATACACTCGCTCTGTAAAAGAGAATGTTTTCCCACAGAAAGTGAATCGTTTGTTCTCGTTGATGACTGAACCGATGCACGATGAGAAACAGGAGTAAGAGATGATCGACTTTCAATTAAAAGGTCTTACTGGTGTAACCGGCGTCGATGTATATGGTTACATGCCAATGTTTCTGTTGATCAAGGTCTATAGAATGTTTGTATCGGACAGGAGTAACATTTCAGATACAAACGTAATTGTAACACATACCTCCCTCCGGTCTCTGCTTGACAGTCCGTTCAGACTGCGTCTCCGAATTATTGTGTGGATTGTTGACGAGTCAATTGTACGCGATATTTAATACCCAGAATACTCTCTTTTCCATGTAACTTCTATCCCTGTGTTGCATGTTTTGGTCAAATTATTGTAAATATAATTGAATTGACTCTCAATGCAATCGCATTTGATCTCACACATGTGCATGTATAATGTTTGATTTACTTTCAATACGCTTTAGCTAACGTTTGTTATTCAGTTCAGTTTGCCTAAAACGTTATCATACCCTGAAAAGTCTATTTTAGCAATTCACGAAACATACCTCCCTTTATATTTTTCAGAAATGCAGCAGATTCACCTACCATCTACGACACTGGCTCCAACAACAGTGACACTGAGGAAGCGACGGAGACCGTACTCAAAGTTTCAAATAGCAGAACTCGAAAGAGAATACAACAACTCAACATATATTTCAAAGTCTAGAAGATGGGAACTATCCCAACTCATAAACTTGTCTGAACGACAGATCAAAATATGGTTCCAGAACAGAAGAATCAAAGCAAAGAAAGTCCAAAAAAGAGAAGACTCTCCGGGAAAACCCCAAGGACCATGTATGGGTCAGCAAATGCCCCAATGAAATTACGCTTTACATTAAACAACATTTCATCGTCAAACAATGAAAATTTTTGTCTCTCAGCTGTGACCAATCGATGTGTTGTCACGTGACATAAAGACATCCGACGTGAGATGTGACGTAATCTTAGTGCTAGCGTGACGTCATGAGGACATGTCTCATTTTCGCACATCTACATACAAAATGGTCCCATATTGACAAAAAAGAAACAATCATGAAATGTGCTCATTACAGCACTGTCCCCGGACAATGAAATTGTCACCAAAATTCATAAGTATTGGAGTAACTTGAAAAGCAAATTTAGAGGGAAGAATTCCTTCTGTGAGGTGATCACGTGACCAATATAAGGCGCGGAAACGCTTCTGTCACGGGGTTGAAATGTTTAAGAAACCAGCTTTAACTTACGTGACTGGTCGGTAACTATATGACAACTTATGTATTGACTGTGTTGTCACCAATGACAGACGTTTGCTACTGTGCCTGTTGCCATGGTTTGTAGAGTAGATAGGCATTTCCGCTACAAGTTATAATTTGACGGACAGATTCATCATATTATGAACTTCATCTCCCTAGATCACGTGATTATACATAACGGACGCTGTTTTACCTCAGATGCGCATGTATTTGTTTATCATGACTAGGTATTTGATGACGTCACTGTGGAGTAAAGTATATATTTCTCCCGGAAATGACGTCAGTGTTCTGATTAGATGTTCCCGATCTGTTCGATAGCCTGATTGTCTGTCTTGTCAATGTATTGTATGTTTATTTGTTTACTTTCTGTATAACGTACAGAGATTATCGTTCATTATTTAGTATATCTCTTAGAATATTTTTTTTCTAGATTAAGTTGTGTTAGGACTACAATGGCGATTTTCAGCTTTAATCTGTGGTAATACTTATACCGCTAATACTGCATACAGGAAAACAAACTACAGAACTTCAAACTTATATGTTATGTGTAATAAAACATATGAAAATTTGAATATCAGTAAAATAACATATCACAAAAATATCTTAAATAACAGTAGTAAAATTCAGACTTTTTTATACTACATTGAAAGTATACTATTCTGCCGAGGTTATAGTAGTGTGTATTTTCTGTAGTACGATATGACTAAGTAGACTCTCTTTGTTCACAGTTTGTTGGTTATGAAAGATAATATCTAAATGGTATTACCCTTTAGGCCAATGTCCAGCGATACCAGTCTGTTTTTTTTAAATTGAAGGCAGACTGGTGAACGAGTTATCTTTTCTTCAATGGCGATCTTTTGATAGAGGTCGCTAGTTAAATCATAAATCGATAGAAACATCTGAAGCCAGACACGTACATGTTTTGTAACCTTTATCTTCTAGAAGTCAGAATTGGTGTTTTCTCACTGGTGATATCGATAGAAAATGAAAGTCACAGTATTACGTATTGGAAATAATCATGGACGTATATGTTTGATGCAAACTTACATGACCCATTATCAAATTATCTATGTGACACATTTTTTTTTCTGAACACCTATATTTTCCTAATCAATAAAATCTTAATTCAAATCTTTAATCTGTTGCATTAATTACTATAGATTTTCTATCCCGCTCCTCAATTTCGTAATATTTATTAATTTAAAAGCGGTTTAGTCGCTCTAAATCAAACTTATCAGTTCCACAAACTTTAATTGAAACTGCAATTACCATGTTGAATGGAAACCATGCATGAATTACGAAACGTCTTAATCTGAAACATATAAAGAAAAATGGGAAATAAAAGAAAACATGAGATTGAAGGTTCCGCACGAGTTTGGGATATGAATAATCATTTGACTTGTAATAATTGATATATTATATAAACCTTGATTGACAGCTATAGATCTCCGACCACGTGGTGGTCATTGAAACGGAAGTCAGTGTGTTGTAACCACATATATATGTCATGTTAACATTGTTAAATAGTTCATCAATTTATTTATTCCACTTAATTCGTTATTAGGTCGTCAGCAACAAATTAGTCCCGATCAAAGAACATAAGATAGAAATTCAAGAATTTGTCAAATATGTATTTTTAATCATGATCCATAATGTTTATCTAGGTTTATTTGTAATAATTTTAAAAGAAATGTATATCAGTTCGAACTATCATAAATGGAATTTAAGATACCTTAATGTATGAAATGGGCTTCTTGTGATTGACTCGGGAAGTTTAAAGAGTAAATTCAACAGCGGGGTTCAATATTCCAAAACTGCTGTAGAGTATATTAGGCTAATACTTCATTTAAGATAATTTTTTAATATCTTCATATAAATTGGAACAGTTATACGATGTTTTAGATAGTAAGAACTGAAATATAACTACGAATTATTAACTCAGTACTAAATGAACTCATCACACTTTCATGGATTACACCACTCGTTCATGTGATGTTCCTAGTTTTGTGAGTAGCTAAGTGATTCCTAATTATGGGTGTATGAATGACAGTGTGTACTGTAGAGTAAGTTATGTATCCTTTAAAGTGCTATCTTACATCTCCAAGTAGAGATGTGACGTCATTTGTGTATTAAATACGAAACATTTCAAATGAAAAATAAAGCATATATACTATGGCTGTTTTGTTTGTTGACACTTAACGTTCTAGACAACTCGTAATGAAGCAAGGTTTATTACCTCACAGGAATTCAAATTCCAGACGAAGAAAAAATATTTCAATTTCGAAGATTACTCGACAACAAATGATGTTTAATCTTTTGATCCTACCACACAGCGACACCAAAGAAAAAGTGATAAATTCCGGTGATCTCCAAAGTATCATTGATATGATAACTCCGTGTATAAGCGGCACTCTGTGGTATTACCTGACTGAAACGACAGCGACATACTGGCAACATGCTAATTATATAACTCATCAGAATTCATAGATCTGGAACATTGCTCTGTAAAATTATTCGATTGCAAACATGCTTCACACGATATCTCTCATATCAGAAAAAATTTGTATTCGTTTTCCTAAACCTAAAGACTGTTTTTTTCAAGAGGACACATTTCTTGGTATTATTGAACAAATCCAAGATGGATAGGTGGACAGATGAAAACACAACTGTGACATTTTTTTAAGTAAAAACAGACGTGTGGACGAAAAGCCATATCTGGGATCTCTTATACCGCGAACAATATTCTCTATTATCTTTTACATTTTACCAAAGTAATGAGAAATGAAACAAAAAATAGCACATGGAAAGGAGAGACTGATAATACATTTCCGTTTCCTATACTGAACCTAGGACGAAAGGACGAATATGCATTTTCTAGAATCTCATGATTTTCCGAGCGATGAGAGATAAAGAGATGAACAGTATCTGATATGTTACACTTGATTGAAAAAATGGACCATCAGACAAATTAATCTTTTTCATTATACTTACAAGTAAGAATTACGTGATATAATAAGTAGTGACAGGTGCACGCACTTCAGGTGAACTTTTCTAATGCTTCTGGTACATTACAGAAAAAAACAACATCTTCAGTGTTGATACTACTTCGATCTCAAATATGTATGGCTTAGTGCTGACCTCAGAATGATATCATCTAGCACATTTACTGATCTATCATACTTATAGAATTGAATATATACCAGAAACTATTTATTATATATATATATAGATTTAGCATAGTCTAATAATGACAGCTGTTTCATTCTTCATAGAAGCATCTTTCCATCGATACGGTGTGTCACGGATGTGTACAAAGCACTTGGTTAAATGAGTCAATTCGAAATTGTTTGTACCATAAGGCATGTAGTATCGTTACAGATATAATGACTATAATAACAAAGCACACATGGACAATATACTGTAATGGTTAGAGTCTGAATAACATTTTAAACAAAGACACGTAGACAGATTTCATCAAACAAGGGGGGATATTGTTCTCACAACAAACATTTAAGACACTTACTCTTCCGGAACACTTCTCTGATTACCTTTGATCATTTACAAGGTTTTTTTTCTTTTGTTCATATTTCTCCCCTCGTTCCATTGATTTTGTGTTGGAATTAAACGTGACCCAGGGCTAAACACATATTTGGAAATGCATTTCCCTTTTAAATCATCTTTAAGCAAAAAGTAAGACATTTATCGGAATTGCAAAACATGGTATCAGTGCCTTTGTCTACACAAAATGTCGCATTATATAGTGTTGTTAAAGATCCCAGAGATATGCTGCATCCTCTCGTGAAAAAAACTCTTAGGAGAACGTGAATTTTCCGCTCTGTACACTACAATACACTATTCTATACTGAATGATCGCCTCCTTCTCTGGTTATGAGAGTTTTCTTTTCACAGAAAGATAAACGTCATTATGATTATTATATGGTTGTGAGGTATAATGTAGCGTATTTCGTTAAATTTCTTTGAAGAAATACACTGAGGATGAAATTGTAAAAAATAATTGTTTGACAATATCTTCTTGTGTTTGACGGTGAGATCTTCCAACAAAGTTTTGACATATTCGTGGAAGCAGTCTGTAATCCTGTCTTGGCTAGATTGTTTTGTTTCCAAAACGAGACTAACTTGATCAAAAAGATTATCATAACAGATCATACAGACATTGGCAAGTCCGTCAATTTCACGTTTAGATATATTGATGATGTATTGTCTTTAATTTATTGACAATGTCCACCGTATGTACCCACCAGAATTTGAAACTAAGAGCACGCCGATCTCTTCTCAGCCGCGTACCTTGCTCAATTCATAGAACGAAGCCAGCAGATACAGCTTCCCGCCTAACTGCATTATAAGCATGGAAATTTTGATTTCCCTATTGTTAATTTTCCATTTCTAGATAATAATGGACCTGCTTTCCGAATCTACGATGTTAAAACGTCTCATTTGAGTCAATATCCAAGGACTTGTTCCCGATATCAGGATTTCTGAACAAAACATCAACAACTGACAGCTGAACTCACAATACAGTATTGTAAGAGACGTTTTACATACGTAGTTATGGTTAAATTTAAAAATAATCTATTTCCTTGTCGATGTCAAAGCTGGATGTGTTCGAAGCTCGTTATTATGCCTGGTAGTTCCGTTGTTCTTAACCTCATCTGGGAACGATATAGTAACCTAAATTGAAAAGACTTACAGGGAAATTTTCGATGGAGAAGGCGCTTGCCTTTTCGGAATATATGGTCATATTCAATTTTCTATTTGTAATAATAATGCAATGTATCCTGGCGCGACGAAATTAAGTTTGAAATCTATGAGGAAGAAAAAAGGCTTTACCAAACAATTGAAAAAAGTATACTGTAACAGTAATTTTAAGGAAATGTTGAATTCTGAATTCACAATTATTATTCATAAAGGAGAAATATTACAAATGCAGAAATACCGACCATATTTAATAACCGGACAACAACAGGACATTCCGTTATCAAATAGTGTGCATGTAACAAGTCTGGAATCATTTTCAAATTCGATCACTCTCGACAGCATTCAGCAATTAACAAGACATCGAAACGAGGACATAATGGCGTCATTTTTTGGAAATGACTCCATAATAGAAAGCATACTACTGTCCAATTGTCCAAAGTTTGTTTAATTTCATAACAAAAATAACAACAACAATTACAGTAAGATTTTTTTTGTTTTATTTGTGTGGTTTTTTTTTACTTCATGATCCAGCCTTGGTTGCGTGAGGGTGAAAGCTAGACAGACAGAAACAAAGAAATTACAGCAACGCAAAGAAGGAATTTAACGACAAAAAGAAAACGAAAAATATTTCAAACGTTACAATGCACATTACAATAGTAGCAGCAGATCAGTCCAGGAAATTCTACAAAGGCGAGGAAGAGATATTTCTGCATGACCCTCAGCACCAGTCGCCTGTTATAAACTAAAGTATTATGATGAACAGGTCATATGATATAACAGGTCATATGATAGACTGGTTTTACCAATAGCACAACAAAACAGAAGACTTTGTGAAAACGATTTCGTCGTAATGTTAACGATTCTGAAAATTGTCATAAAATGTGTCTGTTTATTTATTATTTTGTTTTTTGGGTGTTTTTTAGGGGTTTTTTTTATAAAAATTTAATCTGGTTCAGTAGTAATTATAGAACATACAATAAAATCTTTCAATGATTATTAAACTGAACTAACAGTCATAAAATACAAACTATCGGTTGAGACGAATTTACAAATGTTGATGAGTCAAAAACAAAACTAAAAAAAAACAATAACACGCAAAAACAAATCCAAACTAAACAAAAACAAAACAAAAACAACAAAAAAAATAAATAAAAAACCCAAAAGCAGAAAACCACAACAAAAAAAACAGCAAAACATACAAAAAAAACCATATGTATTATCGAGTCAGCAGAACTGTTCATTATACCTGAAACGTTTAGTTTTGTGGTAAAATGGCTATCTAAAGTAACGGGCGAAGTGTAGCCACACAGACGTGTAGGCGATGGAAGGGAGACAATGTATTAGAATGCAGTAGAGCGGTGGCGATTGTTACGTAACAAGGAGGATGAAGTCCCAGACGAGCAAACAAAATGATAACACCAAGCTTACGTAGGCACTATACCATAGCTTTGTACGTCCTTCAGAAGTGGTTTTAAATACAAATTACAAACACAAAGGTCATATAATAGTTACATTATCTTTGTTGACTACAATATCCAGATACACTGATGGAATTCATATGGGATATGGATGAAATCATATCTTAATGCATATCTACATAGCTTTTTATAGTTTCCAAGACATTTGTATATGACCATATAAAGAAGTCGTGATACTCTATACATTTCTTCACATGGCTGATTAAGAATTGCACGGATAATGTGTACATATAATCGCAAGGTGTAAACTTGACTACATACATTTGTACACATCACGGTGTAAGTGTTAACACATACGTTTGTACATATAGAGGTGTATGTTTTAACACATACATTTGTACATATCATGGTGTAAGTTTTATCACATACATTTGTACATATAGAGGTGTAAGTGTTAACACATACATTTGTACATATCAAGGTGTAAGTTTTAACACATACGTTTGTACATATAGAGGTGTAAGGTTTAACACATACATTTCTACACATCAAGGTGTAGTTTTAACAAATACATTTGTACATATAAAGGTGTATGTTTGACTACATACATTTGTACATGTAAAGGTGTAAGTGTTAACACATACATTTGTACATCTCAAGGTGTAGTTTTAACACATACATTTGTATATATAGAGGTGTAAGGTTTAACACATACATTTGTACATATCAAGGTGTAAGTTTTATCACATACATTTGTACATCTCAAGGTGTAAGTTTTAACACATACATTTGCTTACAGAAGATTTCTTTATTGTTAATTTCGTACAGAGTATTTTGTTATTCAATTATGACTGCTGGATTCGTTTGAAATAGTAAGTATATGTTATAATGTGAATATACAGAATCATTAAGTATTTCGGTATACTCATAGATTGTGAAAATTCCACAACTGATTCAGTATATTTAAAGTTATTAACAAAATGTATCATACAACATTTTAGAGATTTAGGGTCCCGATATGTTTTGTTCCAGAACTGCCAT